GTGTCGGAAAAAATGGTTTCAGTTGGCTTTGTAAATACCCCAGTTTTGTTTGAATGTTTGGAATCGGATTTTTTACATTTTACATGCATAACTTGCTATTGTTTCTACACGGTAGCTCTAGCACATACCATTACTTTAGAAAAGCCGAGGAACTGTTTTTATTTAAAAAGAAAAAATAATGCCCTATCTTCACTAAGTGCGTCATGTATACAATTCTTTAATAATTATTAGAAAGTATTTAAATAATGAGCACAAATAAAATAAGTTTTATTTTTTTATATACACCCTCTTTAATAAATTTCTATTCAGTCAGTACGACATATGTATTGAGTCCATCGAAGACACATTTCAGATGTTCGGATCGATCGCACGAAAATTCTTGGAAGCGCAACCCCCCGTGTGAATATGTAATCGAATCGCATGCGGCGCCGTGTCAACACAACACTAGCTTATTATAAGTAACTTGAATTACATTTTCTTGAAAATAAGAACTGCTATTTTTGTTACGAGTCATCGTTTTAATAAGGACACTTAAAATCGACTAAATTGAAAAAGTCGATTATTTTTTTGTATAGAATCGAAATTATGTAATAGTAAAAATGGTGTTTTTTTGATACTTTATAATATGGTAAAGTTTATGTTAACATCACTATTAACAAAATTTCATATCTCGTTAAAATTGTGCTGAACTATTGGGCTGTTCTTTTCTGAACCAAATTTGCACTTGATAGTAAGATAATAACAGTGCTTTTAGTGATAAATAATTGTACCAAAATACAAGATAACTCATAGCGTACGCGGGAAATGCAACACCTGACACTATTGACATATCTGTCATTCCCAGAACATTAATGCCATTGCTTATGTATTTTGATATAGTCTAGGTATCCATAATGTATTGTAATTAGCTACTCATGGTTAAAGAAGCGGTATTTAATAGTACTTCATAGGTAACGGCGACTCAATGGCGCCAAGTGCCGCCGTCAAGGCGCGTCGCATACGTGACTAATATAACGATCCCGCCGGGATTGCAGGAGCCGATCCCGGGACTAGAAAACCTCAAATTTCAGTCAATCTGCCATTAAAGTTTACAAACGCTGATTTTGAAATGTCTCAGCAATGTAATTAGAGCATTTTAATCCATTTTCTATTGGCGCTGTCCAAAAATCTAACAATAGATATCCGACGGGTTACGTAAAACCATTTTAGTTATAACAAAACATTACAACTCGACTAAAATTATTGAGTAATTTATTAAAAATAAAATAGTTTAGAAATGTAATGGATTGATCGTACAACAGTATTGCACAGGCGTGCCCACGACGGCGCCATTCGTAATGTTTGTTCGGTGAAAGTCGTAACATCACGACTTCTCATACATTAAGCTTAGAGCACCGTGCGAATGTGCTAGTGCGGACACGACAAATTAGTCTGATTTTTTTATCAAGTGACCGCTCATCAATTTCTCATTTCGTCCGTTGCAGTCACGTAAACGAAATCCCCTGTGATTACTACATCAGTACAGATGAGCACATCACCATTTTGTGGTTTGATTTTATCTTCATCGTACTAAGTGCATTGTGCTGTACCAAACATTTTGTGACTCTAATTAATGTAGCACTTAAAGTAATGAAGATCTCAAGTCACGATCTCGTAAAATATATGTATATTTTGAGTCTTTATTCTAGTTTATGAAAACTTTATTCAATGGTGTTCTCACATCCAATAAAAAGTCTGGTCCGTATTCGAAAAACACGCTTCTTTTCTCCGGGCGAGGCCGATTTCTGTGAAATTTGGCGCCAGATTGGTATCTAAACGCATGGTCGAGATTTATCTGATGAGATCGACACCCATTCAAAGGCAAGAGGTCCACAGGCGGCCACTTTGAGGGCGCTTCAACTCTTTGTTTTAACACCGCACTGTGAAGGGCCGTAATGAGCTGCTCGGACCCTTACAGCCCGGCCCAAGAACCTTATTTTATTGTTCATCTGCAATGATTTATTATCGGCGTCTCGAAAATTTACATAAGAACATTTTTCTAAATACAAGTTACGTATTAAACGCACCTACATATACATACATCCGGCTTTACAAATACCGAAATAAAAATGTTTATTGATGTTAACAAAATATAATAGGTACCTATGTGAACTTTCAATGTAAATTGTTTCCAATCACGAGAATTCTAACTTCTCATAAATATTCCTCAGCCCACCAACTATCTATTTTTCATTAGAGAGACACAAAGAAATTATCTATGACGATTAAAACCACGATCAAACGTAGGCGGTGCTATCTAAGTTCTATCCAATCTTTTTTATCGATATAAAAACACCTGTAGTGTGAGAAGCTTCGTGAGCGCGACTTAGTCGAGTCACCTGTTTATGTACAATCAATTAGAATTCTATCGTTTGTAAGCCGTAACGATAGAGCATAGAATTGCGTGATATTCTCAGATCGAGCGGTAAAATATTTTGTTAAGTTGGAACGCCTCTCCGGCGCCGCGGCTACCCGATTATGAGCAATAAACTAATTCCGGTAGCACGGCCATTAAGAATGTACGATTATAAGTATTAGTAAGTTTTCGCTTCACTAGTTATAGCGGCATGTAAGGGCTACGGATGTCATTACTATTGTACTTCCAAAAAAGTAAATCTGTGACGTGACACGCATTTGACAGCTTTGATTGGCGCCAAATTACACAGTTTTTTATTGATTTGTTTATGTTCCTGCTGCGGAACTTGTCAATCTATCTATCTATCATAAGTACGACTACAAAATACTTATTAGAAATATAATATTTATTATTACAAAGATTTCATAAATTAGAGGTGGAGCTAATTTGGCGTATCTTCAAATTAAAACGCTAATAAAATATACTAATTTAAGATATCGATCAATTATGTTAATTATTTATTTTATCGACTTCTTTTAAAAGTTAAAGTTTTAAGTGCAAGGTTGTTTTATTGATGCTTAGTTGGAAACAGTTTCATGAAATATTGATATTTGTATCGTAAGAATATTTTACTTTTAAGTTTCATTAAATAAATTAAACGGTTACACATTTGTTTTAATAAAAAAAAAACATTCGTATTTTACAATATTTTCAATGTTCAACTCTAGAGAAGTTGACTAAGTAATTAAGTTAATGTAGATACCTACCTAGAAAAAGAAATTCAAATTAAAACGGAATATAACTAGCCTAAAAAATTTAACAAAAAGTTGCCAAACATTTCACCCGTCAATTATTTCTAAGTAAAACAAAATTGGAAATCCCGTGATTAAAAAAAAATGTTAATCGTTCGAATGGATATTAAAATTTGAATATTTAAGTATGGAATGCGGACCATGAAAAATAATATGATAAAATAACAATCACTCCGCGCCAGCCCATATGGACTAAAACCTGTTTCTCGTTATATAGGAGTTAATAAATACATGCATACCACACAATGTTGTTAGATACACATGAGATTACTCTTATTTGTATATTTAAGATATTTGTAGATACCTGATATTTAAGTAAAAATCATCTCTAGTAGGTACTGAACAAAATTAATGAGATATTCATATTGACCAAAATTTCATGTATATTATAAACTTAATGCTGATCCGAATAGATACTTGTTAGACAAAGACAAATTTATCCGTAAAAATGGTGTAAAAATGGAAATCTAAAATAGTTTTACATTTACTGAAGTTAGTTATTTATTTTTAACCAACTTCTTTAATTATAGGTATCTACCTTGACATTTGAAATATTCCAATTTTCATGTCAATAAAGCGTTTACTTATCTTGATATTTATCCGTGACATCTCCTCTCATGTGCATTGGTGTGACTTGATGACGTCAGTTGCGCAGGCGCCGGCGCCAAGCGACTGGCGCACAACCTTGTCCTATCCATACGATTTTATTGAAAAAAGTTTAAATAACATGTATTTATCTATGTATTTCTAACTTTTATAAATATCAAAGATTTGTTACTTATTTCCAATGAAAATTGATCTCCACTTGATAAAAATCTATTTATAATTGTGGTTGTTTTATCGTATTAATATGAAATTCTATACTACTATACAGGCTGATATCAAATGACTGAATGCAATAAACATAAGCTACATTATTTAATGTGAAAGCAGAGCTCTTTGCTTTATACATAGATTATATGAAAAAAAATTCAAGCTAGGCCGGGCTAAGTACTTTTTAATTATCGAATTTCTTTAAAAGACTCCTCTGTCAAGATGTTTCCAGCCAGCTACAATATTGTAAAATATTCTCTTTTTTTAAATAAATAGTGCTAAAGAACGCATTAGGTTTCGTTTCGCTCTACCTACTGGCAAATACTAATTTAGGTACGGGTTGGTTATTTTTTTAACACCTAAATTGATTGTTGATGGTTCAAAGATAAAAAGTTGCTTACCTATGATCATAAAAAGATATGGACATTCCTATATACTGATTCCACTGTGGCTATAGGACGATTTCTTTTTACATCTTACGACATGTTGTTTTTTTCACTGAATATTTCTATATAACTTCAGTTAACTTTGTCTATTCTAGTTTTAGACCTAAAGTTCAATTCTAAAACTCAGTAGGTGTGACCATTGCCTCACCTGCGGCCTACTTAAGTGCGCAAGTCACATCGTGGCTCCATAACGAGCATCGGCGCCGTTTGTGTGCCTATTCGCTTTTTGTGCGCACGCGCAGCTTCCGCTGCTATCATAACTTGTACTAATAGGTTAAGTATTAAAGTAACTGTACAGAATTTTACTTAGCTTATTGCCACTTTTTTGGTGTTAGGGTATTTCTTCAGAATACGTAGGCATTTATCAGTTGGTATTATTTAAATAAAAAGTTATTAGTATAAATATGTTATGAGGACGTCTAGGGTTATTTAAAAATGATATGATACCTATAGTGTTTTTGTTGTGTATACTCTATAAGTTATGTTTCTAAAGGTATACAAACAAAACTAACAGATTTTTTCTATTTGTTTCAGATCGCATATTGGAGCGAGATGCTGGCTTCGTGTCGGGAGGCGATGATGACGACTCGTGCTCGGGACCAGCGCACTCCGACGACTCGGGGGTCCGGCTGGTGGAGACCGAGCCACGGGTCAAGCGATCTCGCACGCCCACCCGGTTACAACCACCTAAGAAACGTATTCGATTGAATTCAAGAGAAGACCTACCGAGCCCTGAGAGTGATACATCTGCCAGTCCATTCAGACCTTGGTCCTTCACTGAGGAGCCGCAGAGAGAACCCCTATCTTTAGTCAAGAAAGAGACTAGTCTTTTAAGGCAGCGACGGAGGCCACTAGAACCGCCTCCACCCCCAATCCCTCCACCACCGGGCCCACCAAGAGTTCCTCCACACCCAGGAGTCGTAGAGCCTTACCAAGACAAATCAAAACCTAGGGAACAGAGGAATTACAAGAATATGACTCGAGAGAGGAGGATAGAAGCTAACGCGAGAGAAAGGACTAGAGTCCACACTATAAGTGCAGCCTTCGATACATTGAGGCGATCAGTTCCTGCCTATAGTCACAACCAGAAACTCTCAAAGTTATCTGTGTTACGGATAGCGTGCGCATACATTGCGGCGCTGTCTGCGGCGATAGATCCTGAGGCTGATTTGTCGTCAGCAGTGGACCACGTGACGCATACAATACACACCGAAGGAAAATTGAGAAAGAAGAAGGATGATGCGTGAAGCGTATTGGACTGAAATGGCCGAATTAATTTTCTGTACAATTGTAATCGGTTTTTGGAATATATTCCGAACTTAGTCTGGCATTGAAGGTGACGAAGTGACATTGACAGATAAGAATAGTTTCCCTAATAGTTCAGGGTGTAATGGCACTTTAATAGGTGTCACTAGTAATGTGAAAGCCAGAAGCCGATTATGGTTACCGCGTTTCAATTAAAACCGTCCTAAAAGCCTCTCTTTGCGCTAATAATTTAGTACAAAAACGACAATAATATTGGTAATGGAAAATTTTATGTGTATGTAGGTATTTATATTGGAATGTTTTAAAAGACATGTTTGTCGTATTCTTATGGGGATAGGAAATACATGCAGTAACTGAGAATATAAACCATTTGTAAGCGGATGGTTAGAATTCTTCTTTCTGCATTGGAAAGATCACCTAGATCGAAAAACATTCATTATTGTGAATCTCAAGCCTAAAATAGGTATCGCCTTGACCTTAAAATTGATTAAGGTTCGTATTTCTCTTAGAATCAAAATTACCTTATGTGAAATTCATTAAGAATATTTTCCTGTTAACGTCAATATGAATGAATGGCGCCATTTTAGTTTTTTTCCATTAGGTGTTACAGGTGTACCAATTAGATTTAACTTCATTAGACAATCGGCCGAGTACAAATTGTTATGTTCCTATTTCATCTCCGTTCATCTATAACAGATCTCGGGTTAAAACGATTCCTACTAATTATGTAATTAAATTAATATTAAAGACAGTACTGGCATTACGATGTAAGGTCACGTTCCGAATACATAGTGACGAAAAAAAACATCTCATAGACAAGTAGTTTGGCATAATCAATTTTTTTTAAATATTTACCATTCCTCAGTCCAGTATTAAAAATAAGGAAAGAATACCTAAAAAATAAAATCAACTTGTGCAAAATTATGTATTTATGGCTTTAAACGTTATATTTATTACAATCGAGTCAGTAATTTAAGTGAGAACTGTATAGTTTTTATTTAGTTTAAGGAGAAATGTTGCATTTTGTAAATATTAGTTTTTATAATGTAAATACTTATGTATTTAGCGAGCGTCACTGTTTTGTTTGGTTCTCTTGGAAATTCTTCAAGGCATATTTTTTTTAATTGTGTTACAATTTGCATTCGACAGATAATATTATGTGTGAGTAATATTATTTGTTTAGCATCTTCATTCTGCCTCCTTTTTCAGTGGTTTATAAAGGAGCAGTTGTTTTTGTTATTTATGGGAATTAAAATGCCTTGATACTGTATTGTGATATAATTATTGTAAATAAAATACCTAGTTATAAGATAATACATCACATTTTGTTAAGTCTGACGTGAGAATTTAAATTGACATTGACAGTTTTGAACATTGTCAATATTTTCATTTTCGGGATCTTTCATTTTATTTATATTCATTGTAAGCAGTCGTGAATAGTAAATCTATTATATAATTTACCAACTCTTGCTGCTTTAGATTTTAAATAAATTGAAGGATTTACAAAACAACATTACATAAAGGTACAGTCAGCTAAAAAAACAATGATAGTTACAGAGATAAATTTCATTGAATTTTGTCAGTGACTGTATCTACCTGTTTCTTAAAACATACCTACATGTATAGATTCTGATGGTGCATTATTAATTGAAATATATAATTAGCCATAAAAAAGGAAAATAAAAGAAGTGAAGTACACAATTAAAACTTTTTGTTTGATTTACCTACTTAACCTGACGGACTCGAAAACTGATCGTCCATAAAAATATACGTAAGGGACATATTTTCACAAAGATATGAAAAATAAGGAGCACAGGACAAGTTGGGCATGATGAAAGGTGTCATGTGAAGTTTCATAGCTTTCCTCTAAGAATGAACTACTTATCTAATACAAAAAGAAAGGTTCATTTCGAATCAGTAGTTTTTTTTTATTATATAGGTCGACAAACGAGCAGACGGATAACCTGATAGTAAGCAATCAGCGCCCCCCATGAGTAGTTAGAGAACACCAAATGAGTGCGTTGCCGGCCTCTTAGGGATAAGTATTTCGGAATAGGCGTCGGGTAACCTCACCCACACGGCGAAAAACGCTGTGGTTGTTTCACGCCGGTTTTCTGTGTGGTGTCACTCTGATTGAGCCAACCCTATCGTGCTGAAGCTTGGCTCTCGCACACTTACAGATCTCGAAATTACCGCCTTCAAAAAATCAACCTTGTTATATAAATCTTATGATTTGATAGGAATATTTTTAATTATCATCATCATTGTAATCAATAGCCCAGTTTGACAGTCACTAGTCTATTACAAATTAATCTTCTTTTAAGAAATTCAAGAAAGTTTGACCTATTTTCCATTCCTGGTCTGGTCAAAAATATAGATAGTTTCCTAATTTCTTACGGCAGCTACTGAAAGAGTACATAAAACGGGGTAGTGAACATCTCAAGGCAATGTAATGATGCCCCGGCCCGGATCGAGAGAAGGAACGGGATGAGTTTTAGTCAATGTGAGACTGAGACTCTCTCTCGCCACTTATAGCTATATGTAAGTACAGAAGAGTAACAAGGTCAGTTGAAATTTTTATCTTGAGAGTGAACATCAAAATTCAAAAAGTTAGTATGGGCAATGACGTTGTTCCAAAAGGTTTTCTGAAATCCTTAGGTCAACTTCGAAGCTTATGTCATAATATCTAATAATTATTATCGAGAATCTGAAAACAAAAGCCCAATGAAATGTCCAATCCCTGTTTAAAAAAAGAATAGACGTTTAAATTCTGACAGCCACAGCGACAGAATTGGACAGAATAAAACGCTCTAGATGGCGCCAATTAAGCGCACATAAGCGCCATCTAGAGAACTCAGTAGAGATAACTGTCAATGCAATTTCAAATTTTCAACCACTCGACCTGATTGCAATGACAAATAAGGGTTGGTACGTTTATACTCCCCATATTGACATTGAGGCACGTGTCATGATATCGCGCGCCCCTAAACACCTGGGGCACATAATAGACGCTGTTGTATCACTGACAGATGTTAAGGTCCACCCTACTTCCTATTCTACATGCAAATAGTATCAATGTAATGATAACGAAGGTTGGGGGTCTTATGTGAAGATAATGTTGTGTAAAAGTTTTGACTGTACTAAGTACCTATTTGATGAAAAAGAACGATTATCGGTAACTATAGGTGACGCCACTGGCATTATGTTCGTTTAAAAGTTTCATGTTGCACAGAATAAAATCAATGAATATGTCACCTTGGCAGTACAGTCGACAACATTAAATTGGAGACTCGGTTGCCATTCAAGAAAGAATATGTCAAGATCCCTTTTTATAGGACAAAACCATTTACCGACTTCCCCTGTCCTAGGTGGAGCGAGAGAGTCTCTGTCTTATATTGACTAAAAACAATCCCGTTCCTTCTCTCGATCCGGGCCGGGGCATCATTCCATTGCCCTGAGATGTTCACTACCCCGTTTTATGTTTTCTTTCAGTAGCTGTCGTAAGAGCTTATTAAGAGACTACCTATATTTTTAACCAGGCCAGGCATGGATAATAGTTATGTCAAACTTTTTGAAGTCCTTAAAAAACCTTTAATAGATTCGTGACTGTCAAACTGACCTGTTGATTACGATGATGATGACAATTAAAAACATACCTATCAAATTAAAAGCACCCTAAATCAATGAAGAATTTGTTGTTTGTTTGCTTGAACCCGTTAATCTCCGGAACTAGGTACTAGTTTGAATTGAACAATTCTTTGAGTGTTGGATAGTCCATTTATTGAGGAAGGCTATGATTATGGCGCTACGACAAATGAGAGCTAGTAAATAAATGAAGACATTGAAGAACGTAGATGAAGTACAAGAGGTGCATTGAAAGTGTACTGGCGTTCCATTGTACAAACACCAATGCATCGCGGACTCGATTCCTGCCTGATACCTAAAGCTCTTTGTGTGATCCAGGACTCGTTGGTCGGGGTCTAGAGACGTGTGTGTCTTGTGAGGCTTGTCAATTTAGATATCCCTCGATGCAGTAAAAAATGTGACGTATGGTTTAAAAATCTATTAGGTAAGTATATACCTACCTACAGCCATCCTACATATTATATCTATGCTACTATAGATAAGGTTTGTGTAGTTGCAACAGATTGGTTAGATACAGGTTCTAAGGCTACCTAGGGTCATGATCGAAGTATCATAATAAAAAAGAAAAATGCGCTAATTTAATAAACTTTTAAATAATTCCTAGAGGTGCAAACAAATACATTAGGATGGAAGTTTTAGCAATCTCAGATATCATTCTAAATTCACTATTTAAGTTTTGTATTGCGTTATAAAAATTAAGTGGGCTATTATTTAAAAATGTGTATGTTAGTAGCGACATCTTGCGGAGAATAGCTAAGTCAATCGCCAAGTAGATTGAATGAGTCTTTGAGAGATACTACTTTGATGTTGTTGCTATTAGGCCATAGATGGCGCTTAAGTTAACTTTGATAACTTCAAATAAATTTGAAAGTCAATTCAAACGAAAAGCTTTCGAAACCTCTGATTTAAATAGGAAAGAAACTGTTTGTCTAAAAGATGCGTTAAAAGAGCATAATTTCTTAAGGAGCGCATTACAAAATCATTTACAATAAAATACAACTGTATTCTTTTGATTGGAATCATATAAAAGATAATTATTGTTAAGTACACACATTTTATGATTTCAAACCGACTACACTGATATTTAAAATCACACTGGCCATAATTGCACAGACCATAAATAGATTTAAAAAAGATAGACAACCGCCAAGAAAATGACAAATTGTCAATTTGACTGTAGCCCTGGCTGTGGCCGAAATTGGCGGGAAACTTGATTGAAATTTGTAAGAACCGAATGAAACGAAATTGAGTTAATAGAAAATTTTATTTGATTAATACAAAACGGAAGAATTACGCAGTCCATTTGAGGCACCTTGTGTCTAAGTGTGTTCCAAGGCAGCGAACGCAACAGTAACGAGCTCCACAAGGTATGCAAGTGTAGTTCGATGGAAAACCACAAACAGCACAGAAATGTCGATCGGGAAATCTGAAAAGAAAAATATCTACATTAATTTCTTTTTTCACTTCATTTTTTAGGAATTTATTGCACAATGTAGGATAACATTAGGTACTAACAACATGCATCTTTGTTTAAAATGCTAGCACTTAATAGACCAGGAATAATGATTATGCTTAGTCAAGATATTACAAGAGTGCATCTAAGTTTAGTAAAGGGTAAAATCATGGAGATAATAGCACTCCTTTTTTGGGGCAGTCATGTACATAATGATAAATATTTCCAAACTAGACTTTTGATATTTTTATTCATAAGCATTCTAGAATATTACCTAAATGTAATATTCTAGAATGATTAGATTAGCTAAAGCTATTTATTGAATTGTATTCACTACCTACCTACTGAGTTTTCATACTTAAGCATGACACATCATAAAATCCACTTATTTATAAACTCAATACTAATTCATCATATCTCATATATCATCATATATAGCATTTTATTATTTCTCATTTAGATATTAAGTGATGTTATAATAACTTAATTTTAGCAAGAACATTAGTTTAATTATAAATATGTTTAATTTTGTTTAATTCTGTACTATTTTAGAATTTTTGTTAAAAAAAATATCAACCTTAGGTACTGTACTGTATGGTACTGTACTGTACTTATTAAAATAAATGTATTTTCAATCTAGAAATCTATAATCTGTCAAATTTAATCTATTTTTATGGCATATTGTGTACTTTTGTTGTTAATCACTTTGTTTGTTATTCCCAATTTTGTGTACCTTGCATATGTCAAATTGTATGTTTGTAATCTCAGTTAGGAGCCAAAGGAAATGCCAATGTGGGGTAAAGTTTGAAAAAATGTAATTTGCAACTTACTTAGAAGGTGGCACTTGCGCAGACAGGTAATTGGGCGGGTCGGGTCTAAAACTTGCATCTTCTTCAACTAACTGCGCAAATGTCTTCCGAAATCGCATTTTATAGTACTCAGCACTTTTGGTCTTTTTCTTTCTGGTAGGTTTTTCATTTGTTTCTGCGAATTTCGGCACCTTCTTCGACATAACCAGGTCAGCATGTGGGTCTTCATGGAAATTGTCTTGCTCGAGGGCCTCAACTGCTTTTCTAGCTCTGCGCTTCCTTGCTGCATCGTCTAAAATCTTCCTCCTCTCCGTGTCTCTATTACCTCTAGCGTGGGAAGCCATCTTTACATTCCTTTGTCATGTACTGGTATGCTAAGTTGGTCCATCAAATCATCCACACGAGCTTGCAGAGTTTCCACTATGTCTGCAGATATAAATAGATGTGTTTCATCCAGGTCTTGGAGAATAAACTTTCTGCCCAGGGCTAAAGTCTCGTCCAGGTGAAGAAGGAACTGTTTCATAGCAGGATCACTGTAATCATAATGTCAAAGAAACGAGGTTTAAGTGCTGAAGAGAAGAAGATCAGGATGTTAGAGATATTCCATAACAGTAAAGACTTCTTTCAGTTGAAGGTATTCAAAGTTATAGTATTCCTAATTTTTTTATTCCACTCCTTAATTAAAATTACTTAGATCATTAAAATAACATAAATAGGAGTTGGAGAAAATAGCACCAAAAGAGAAAGGTATCACAATGCAGTCAGTTAAAGAGGTAGTCCAGAACTTAGTTGATGACCACCTTGTGGACTCGGAGAAGATTGGAACTTCCATCTATTTTTGGTCATTTCCTAGGTAAGTCTATAGTAAAAAGTTATACTGTTAATAATAAAATATAAAATAAAAATAAAATAATGATTTGATTTCAAAGCACAATTATTAAGAGTTTTGTCAGTTGTGAGATGTCATGTCTTGGAAAAACATAATTGATGTAAAAAAATTGTATTGAATTTGTTATTTTTATTAATATTTGAACACTAAAATTTACCACATCAGTTCAAGTTTTCAGTGATTAACAGCAATTAGTTTATATTTGACATATAGTGAGAGTGATAGAAATGCTATGAAAAAGGTGGTCATAACCTTCTGCAATGGGGAATGCCTCTTAAAAATAAAGATAGAAATATATATCTTCTTTATTTCAGCAAAGCCAAGAATGCAAAGAAGAGAAAAGTGCAGGATTTACAAAATGAAGTGGATGAGTGTGCAAAAAAATTGAAAAGGACCGAAGATTTGATTGCGAGTGAATCTGTATGTATCTTACATTATTAATTATGTACTTAATATGTTTTAAAATTAAAAATAGGTAATCTAAACCTGTACTAAATGTTACAAGAAATCATACGTATTTTATCTACAGGTAGGAAGAGAAAACTGTGAGGAGCGGACTATGGTTCTAGCAACATTGGAGAGTCTTGAAAAACGAGAAGAAGACCTTAAAAAAGAATTGCAAAAATACAGGGACTCCGATCCGGAGTATATGGCCCAGTTGAAAAAAGAGACTCAGGTAATAATCTGAAAATCAATTATAATTTTTATCTACACATAGGACAGTTTAATACAAGCTACTTTAATTAATCAGATAATCTGTAAATGTAATTAGCTTGTATTTAATGTTGTTACTAATGTTATGGTTGGTTTATGCATATATTGTTGATGTACACCAGCATAATTTTATTTTTAATCTTGTGCTGTTATTTTGTTTGAACATTGCATTAACTTAGGTTTTCAAGTCCTTTTCTGTACAAATATACAACTGGATCGAACAACCATTTTCACAATTGGTCAATTGGTTTTAAATTCTTCAAAAGTTTATGTGGATACATTAGGTTGTTTAGTGAGTACACAATATTTTTATTAATTATATTTTGTACTCACAAAAAGGTTTCTCTCCTAGAACATCATCATGCTGTTATAACTATTTCAGGACTTAAAAACAGCTGCAAATAGATGGACAGAAAACATCTATATACTAAAGTCTTACATAAAGAATAATTTTCAAATGGAAAATGATGTTATCGACCAGAGTTTTAACATCCCCGCAGATTTAGATTACATTGAAATTTAAATTAAGTATAGGAAGAGAATGATTACTATAACCTCTTTGAAAAAAGTCTTAACCATTACCTTAATGGTTATAAATTTACTAAAAAGTATGAATAGTGCTTACTACTTAAATAATAAAAAAGAATCTAAATTGAATCTTTGTTTTGTTTACATACCATTCGACGAGAACGCCTTTCATAACATTCACCATGGTTCATTTTTAGAAACCACTGCTAGCTTCAAAAACTTTGAATCAGATAAATTGCCTATATTTTCCAATAGTTTATCTTTTTTACCAAAGAACTCTCCGTTAACATTAACTTTTTAAAATGCTATTTAGGTAGATAACTACACAATCAGAAACAACTTCAATTGACAGAAGAACCGATTGTATCAATTATGACAGCTGACAGTTCTGAGTGACAGGTCTACCTTAGTGTTGCTGAGTGCTATGTTACCAAAAAGTATATTTAATAAGAATAAGGGAAGTGTATAATTGACAAAATTTCAGGAAGAGAAAGGTTCGTTTAGAAGAGGAAATAAGAAGTAGGTATATCTATATAAGTATTATATTTTCAAATTTATTTTCGTACTTCAAATAGCAGTAGAAACTTTTCTGGTGGTAGTTACTGACTCGTTTTTCCAGTGGTGTACAAAGGCGCATTTCTTTCTGACCTCGACGGAATTTTAAGACAACCGGCGAAACCACGGCAGAGCGTATTTTCCCTGATCTGAGCGTTGGTTGAAATTGAACATATTTTTTTACAAAGTATTTATAAATACTAACAAGTACTAACATTTTTTATGTGTAGCAACTTTACCATAGTTATAATAAAATGTAGATAGAAAGAAGAGGTATAGGCGTATAACTTATTTACATCCATGTACATTATAAAAGTTATAAGATACCTACCAAATGTTATGAATCGTGAAATATGTGATTATGTGATTGTTTAATTCTTAAAGTTTTGTTACCACTAAGTTTTCAGGTCAGTACAATTTTTAACTAAAGTTTGAACATTTTTGTTTGTTTACGTTCGTACTTTTGAACTTCAAGGTCATTTATTTCTAGCATAAATATTACAGTTTACCTAGTCTTATTGAATCGACAATTTTACTTTGACTTGCATTCTAATCAAAGATGAACTCGTAATACCTATGTAAATTTGATGGTTCAGATGTGCCGTTTATTATCTTATAAGTAGTACTGACGGACTCTCCCGCGCTGATAGGTACTTATTAAATAATAGATATTTGATAAACACTAAGAGGTAGGCATACCACATATATATAATACAGAGTTAAACGTTTAGCAACTCTTAAAACTGGTGGTAATTCCCTAAAATACAGTTTTAAGTGTGGGAGAGCCAAGCTTCGGCAAGAATGGGTCGGCTCGACCGGAGTGATGCCACGGCCTCACAGAATACCGGCGTGAAACAACCCACAGCGTTGTGTTTCGCCGTGTGAGTGAGGTTACCGGAGGCCCAATCCCTCCCCTTCCCCTATCCCTTCCCAATGCTTATATCCGCAACCCCCATCCCCAAAAGGCCGGCAACGCACTCGTAACTCCTTTGGTGTTGCGGGTGTCCATGGGCGGCGCCAATTGCTTACCATCAGGTAATGCGTCTGCTCGTTTGCCAACAACATAAAAAAAGATCGTCAAATTGTTCGCGGTAACGTGTAGCCAGGTCAGAGGTAGGTAGTAGGTACCTACCTACCTAAAAAAAATTCTAAATACAAATGAAAGGTTTGTCTTATTAATTTTATTGTGTTTAGAGATCTTGTATATTTATTGAACGTGTTTATTTTACCTAACGATGTTTCACGTCACGTGGTACCGATCAGCGTTGTTTTGTTCAGTAGTCTGGCAGACAGACCTATAACGACGCTTATCTATTTTTTTATGCAAAATAATCGCATTCCAGTGGATTACACAGTCTATCATACTGACTTACAAAATGGAAAGAAATAAGTACCTAGTACTAACGTGTTTTTATTAGAATAAGTAGGTATTTACGAAAAAGTATGTACTTAGGAAAATGATATAGGTACTTAATGCAACATTGCCATTTATGGACATATCATATATATCATATATAGCACTAGGTATAGGTATAAATTTAGCCCTTGACTCACTTGATATTGCAACAAAGTTGAAACAGGAAAGTCAACTCCAGTCAGTACAGCTTCAGAGTTTACGTCAGTCTTGTCTCTCTATCATCAGCTCTCTGACGTAGTTTGAAATATTTTCGCTTCTTCATAATACGCAGCTACACTCAAAACTTTTTTTTTATTGGTAGGCATAGGTCGGCAAACGAGCCGACGGATTATCTGACGGTAAGAAATCGGCTCGGCCCATGAACACCCGCAACATCAAAGGATTTAGTTCTCGGCCTTTTAGGGAGATAAGTAAGAGTTTCGGATATTTAAGGATTGGGAAGGGATGGGGGGAGGGTAAGGATTGGGTTTTTGGTAACCTCACTCACACGGCAAAACACAACGTTAAGGCTGTTTCACGTCGGTTTTCTTTGAGGCCGAAGGTATCACTTCGGTCGAGGTACAGCACGGTTTTCATACATTTTTTTAGTCGACAATCCTGGAACTCGCAATACCGTACATTGAGTTCAAACTAATTAAAATCATTTTCGATAAAGAGTTGGGAGCGACGGAAATAGGGCAAGTTTCCTCTCATATAAAAATAGCGGGCTTACAAATGTTTTTTGCTTCAATTTCGACTAATTGCAACTACCTACCCTAAGTTTGACAGTTTCATTTAAAACTAAAAAATAGCTGAACTCTCAAAAAATTGATTCATATAATATCTGCTTACCTTTTTTACGACCGTATCGTTTATAATGTTGTATGAATTTGTGTACGTTACCTACGTACAAATACCTTATCTTCATACTTTTTATCAACTGATAAATTATGAGTCGGGTTTTAAACAGACTACTGTGAAAGAGACATTGTAGAAGTTAATCTATACTCAATATTGTTTAATAACAATCCTGTTGGGCGATATACTGTTTGTGATTTTGTGTTCTAGGTAATGTAAGTGCAACATTGTATAATAGTATGGATTTCTAGTAATAATTTAGAATAATAATGTACGTAGTATACTTATATTGTATGTACCTAGTTATGCTTTCAGAGATAACACCTTGTTTATACACTTTTAACATTTTAAATGTTGTTTCAGAAACATCAGATCAATAAGTTATTAATTAATGCAAAACAATGATAATGATCTCAAACTTGAAGACAAGTTTCTTTATAACAGTTTGCTGTTCGCATGTATACTTAAAAAGAAAACGCCACAAGAAAAAATAGAAAAAATTAAAAAGTATTTGGAACGTGGGGCCGATATCAATACAGTTGATGCTAACTATAATAACAATACACCATTGCATCTTGCAGTGATCAAAGAAGAACCAGAAATTGTTGAGTTTCTTTTAGAAAAAGGTGCCCATTATAAGAAGAAAAATTATGAAGAAAAGTCTGCTTTAGACATAGCTCACACACTTACTGGGAATCTTATAAAAAGAAAAGAAATAATTACACTATTAGAGACGTTTGCTGATAATAACTTAAAACGGGCTAATTTAAATAATATAAACACTCATAAAACTCCTAAACGCCCTGGCTGTCCATTTATTAGCCATGTAGAGAAGGAAGACTTAGAGGAAACTAATAATATTAGACATACCAGAGATTTCAGAGAATATTTAGGTCAACTTTCTACTTCAGTACATGAAGAAAATACAAATGACACTATTAAAACCAAATTGCACGCTGAAAAGAAAGATGATGACCTAAATGTGAATAATTTTCACCGATCACATTGCAGTAAAGTCTTCGTATTTTCTAGTCCACGTGAAACCAATGCTATTGATTATAACTTAAGAATTGATGAAGTCACAAACATGCTTGAAAATCTTATTGTTCGTGGTACTGCTGAATCAGATTTGAAACCGATCGGTGCATGTGGGACACCAGTATATGAAAAAGAAGAATTAAAAATATCTTCTAGTAATCAGGGCCGCGACGATGTTTTAGCACAGGAAAATAATTTTAAGATATCCGAAAATGAAGATCCTTTAGTCAAAGCTAAAAAACTTGTAGGGAGTACTATGAAACAACCACAATACAAAATATCATATATTAAAAAAAATATTGAGGCTATTTCCAAACAGGCTTGCAATGTTAAAATACCTAAAGGTAAAAGGGAAGTAAAAGACCGTAAAAAATGTAACACTCCTTCATTTCAAGAAAATGGTATAGATGTAAAAATATCTCGTACAGCAAATACTTTTGATGCTGATTGCAAAACATTTGAAGGAAATATTTGCTGTAGCTTAGGCGAAGATCAAAAACCTACTCGAATAAAAAAGTGTGTAAAAATGGTAGACAATAAATATTTAAAAATGGGTCAACGAACTGATCCTAGTAAATTAAAGATGCATGATTCCCAGACTACGAAAAATAAATTAGGCGCTGTTCAGATTAATAAAGTAAATTGTGTTACTAAAACAGGTTCGGCAATTATTCACAATAAAACCAGAATAACAACTGAAAAGAAAACTTCTTCGGACACACGCAATAAACCAGTAAAATATGATTTTAAACAACCATTACAAAGTAAGTACTTAAAAATAACTTCTAGTGAAAAGTCACTGGAGATACAGAATGCTGGAGCTACATCGTCACAGAAAAATAATACTAAATTCTCCAAAAATAATGATGGTAATAAGATTATTGAACTTAAAAAGAATGACAATTTAGTAAAAAGAAAAGAAACAAGAGGTGATTTTAAACAATTAGACAACAGCAAAGTATCTAGTCAACAGCACAACCAGCCTGCCTTCTCAAAGAAGAGCCACTATCGAAATTCCGCCAAAGTTACCATTGTTGAGGGTTCAACGATTACGAATTTTGGTACTGTAACTAACACACATGAAGTCGACTCAGTCAAAGATAATAACCACCAACCAAATGATTTCAAACAATTACAAGAAGGTAAATATTTAAAAATTGCTTCCAACCAACAAGACACTGCAGCTTCTAAAATCAATTTTACGAGCTCGACAAACAAAATTTGTGATGTAGGTATGAAAACAAAAACTGCTGAAGACTTGGACACTGAATTGGTCAAAGCCAACAATTTTATAGTTGATGATCTCAAAAATCTACAAGATGTAAAAGATATCTCAATCTCTTCAAACTTTAACATTGCAAAAAGTATGCAGATTTCTGATGAAACAAAAACGTACAAAGAAGGTGAAAATGATTTAGACAAAGATAAAGAATGCATTGAAGGTGAACCGAAAGAATCACAAGATTTTAAAGATTTTAATATGTCTTCTAATGAACAACGAATAGAATGGTCCTTGACAAACGACACTAATTCTAACTCAACGGAA